TTTTTTCATTGGCTCCGCTGCTTTCATTAGCTGCTTGAAGCCCTCGTTTTCAACGACAGACTATGGGCGCATATCCTTGCAAATGAAGCCCGCTATCACCTCGGTTATTTTGTGAGAACGTGTAGAATTAGCCGGTAGTTGTAGTGATTCCTTGAATTTCATCTGCTGCAGACCAGTGGACGGCTTGCACGCAAGATCTTGGTGATGCCGCAAAATGCGATTGTTGAGATTGGTTGTATTTCCGCAATATTTCACCTCCATTTGGCATGCCTTGCAAATCACTTTGCTTTTGTCAAGCTGACCTTTCTCTTTGTCCGTTCTGAAACCAAAATGCTGCCAGACCGCAGCTTTAAGAGTTTTTGGTGTTTTCAAACCGAGCGCATGGCTAACGTCGCTGCTAGTATCCGACGCCATTTTAAAAAAATATCTTCACACCTAGCACGCATGCGTGAATTCAGTCACATGACGGTGGGCGGGAGAAGGTCGCTGCACCATATTAACCCTTTATCATCACCCACGCCTCTGAACTTCTTTTATATTTTAGCTGTACAAGAGCCAGACACTGTTAAATGGTTAAATCGATCTTTGGACGTATGAATCGATCTTTATGAATTTATATAAGAATCGATTCAGAATCAGAGAATCGATTTTTTCAACACAGCACTAGTTAAAACTGTATTAAAGGATGCCCAGGTGTTGAAAAATATTGTCAGCTTTGTAACACATAATCATATAAAATCTGGTTTAAATACATTAGACGCCATGTTTCCTTCTACAGGAGCCCTTGAGGACAAAATGCATTTACTGATTTCTGACAAGTGGCTACTAAACTTTCACCATTCATAAACATTGTTGTTTTACACTCATTGCCAGTGATGAAAGGGAGTCTGGTGTGTTTGTCATTTTGCTGAGGTTGCGCTCTCAGGGATTTTTGACCCTAATGGCCATCTGTTGGTAAGGTCTAACTCAAGCACAAAAATACAGCTAGCTTGCAATGATTTATGTATGTACTGCCCCCTATCACCAGGGAAAATGCACAATGTCACTTTAAGATGGACCAATGCGTATTCTCTAAAAACATTGAGTTGAAAACAACCCAATGTTTTTTATTGTGTATAATCCAGATGAGCATGTCCCTTTGTTTAACTAAAAACACACTCATAATAAAAAAAAAGAGTTTATTTATGATCTGATTATTTAAACCCTTACATAAATCGGACAATGACATTTAAAAAAGTGATATTAATAATTTTAATTTGTGTTATTTAAGCAGAAACTTGATAGTTAATGATGCAACACACAGACCAGTGACCACAGTTTGTATTTTGTTGCTCCTGTTTTGTTGAGCAGCATCATTTGCTCCCCAATCCTCCATCAGTCCAGCCTCAGCTCATCAGACTCAGAGAAACCTCACCTACAGAAAATCCCTGATTCCTCCCCACCTGAAACCCCTACAGCTCTGTGAATATAGGATGACATGGTCTCATTTCCTTCAACAACCTTCTCTGTATGACATGAACATTGTTGGCCTGTCATGTCTTTGTTTCCTTCTCTGTCCTTCAGCGCAGCAGCTTTATGGTTTTTCCTAAACTCTGCATTAACTCATCACTCAGGCGGTTTGATTTGTTCTGCTCTTAGTCTGATTAATGTTGCTGGAAGTGATGCAGACGGGCTGCAGCTGCGACGGTCCTAGGACTGATCATCGTACCACCACACTGGCATCAGTTTATGCTGCACGCCTCTTTTTAAAAACAAACATGAACAACTTATTCCCCACTTGGTTGCACAGCATTAATAATAAGCACATGTGGAATATACACGTGTAACTGTATTTGGATTAGGATGCTCAATTGCTTTCAAACAGATTAAATCATACGTTTTTATGCTGGACAAATGAATGCTTGTTCTGGGTTTCCGTCTCTTTATCTTTCCACACAAAGTTCAGGCAGGAGATTAGATGCCTTATTAGGATAGACTCAAAGATACTCCTCCAGGGATCAAATCAAGATGGCATCAGTTAATCCAGCATTTCGGTTACAAGCCGTCACTCACATAGAGAAGACAGAGCAGGATAAGGGACAGAACAGGGTCCATTCGATATCATCCCACATGGAACAATCCAGGGGCAAAACTTAAACTCACTTTTCCTGTAGGCTGTATTCTTCCCACGTCTAATTTAGACTTTTTAACAGTTGAAAGGTGAATTTTTGAGAAGAAATCTAAAGCATCATTAAATGTTATTGCTGGGTGTTTCTATAATTGTCCAAAAGACTGACTTATTTATATGTGGTGTCAGAGTTTGTCTTACCAAGACAGGTAAAAATCTGGTTCGCAGAGTAATTTCTATGGCAACTGCATAATAATAATAATAATAATAATAATAATAATAATAATAATAATAATAATAATAATAATAATAATAATAATAATAATAATAACAATAATAATAATAATAATTAATGATGATAATGGGTTTGATTTAGCACTTTTGTAAATGGTAAAATGGTAAATGGCCTGCATTTAATATAGAGCCTTATTAATTCCTAGAACCCCCCAAGGTGCTTCACAACACAATCAGTCACACACATTCACTCCCCAGTGGTGATGAGCCGCAATGTAGCCACAGCTGCCCCTGGACACACTGACAGAGGCGAGGTTGCTGAGCACTGGTGCCACCAGTCCCTCACCCACCACCAGCAGGAAAGGTGGGTGAAGTGTCTTGCCCAAGGACACCACAGCAGCATTCTCTGCCAGCACTCAAAGTGCTGGCAGAGAATGCTGGAAATGACGTCCATTATTTAGCACAAAAAGAAAACAAAAGGAGGAGAGATGAGTAAAAGCAAACAGATGTGTCATATTAATGACAGGTATTATGTGTTTATTTCCTGAAACCACAGTAGGGGAAACGTCCTTTGAAGTTGTTTTGTCATTTGGCTGACAGATAACAAGGCAGATCAGACGCTGTTGTGGTTTATTTAATCTTTTGGACCTTTTTAAGCACAAAATAATTAGCTGTTAACCGAGTGAGGTGTACCCATTGTACAAAGACATGTGGCAGCCAAGTCTTTTCCAGGTTTTGGTCCTCTGTAAGTGCAGACTGAGACGCTGGATGACGTCTTTTTGGGCTAATTCTGTCCCAAATGAGGTCATCGTGGACGTCCTTCTCATGTCGACAAGACACGTTGCTTCACGTCTTTTCCAGGTTATTTCTGCTATTATAATAGCTATAACTAATTATCCTAGCTAAGTAACATTTATGCTAACGTCAGACAGGTTTATGAACACCTGACTTGCTGGAACTACAGCTACAAAAATTAATCCAGCCAACCAATTTTATTCATTGTTTTTTTTATTTAACACACGCACGCACACACGCACACACACACACACACACACACACACACACACACACACACACACACACACACACACACACACACACACACACACACACACACACACACACACACACACACACCTGTTGCTCATGTGCTTAATTTAGCATTAGTAATGTGTTCTGGACAGGCTTTACCACATCTCCGGTGCATGTTTCAGTTGATCTGTCGCCGTGTTGTGTGCTATTTTGTGACTCCATCTGCACAAGTACAAAAAGACAAGTTATTGGAAACATCAGCACGACCATCAGCCATTTCCCCGAGTCAACATTAAATCTGAAACACTGAAATAAAGACACAGTTGATTATTATTGCATCAATGTTAATCAGTCACAGGGGACATGCTAACGTTAGCGTCATTCGACATCCTGGACAACAACAGGACCGGAGGGGAGTATTTTTGTGTCGCCTCCCTACCTGCCCAATAGTGTGTGTGTGTGTGTGTGTGTGTGTGTGTGTGTGTGTGTGTGTGTGTGTGTGTGTGTGTGTGTGTGTGTGTGTGTGTGTGTGTGTGTGTGTGTGTGTGTGTGTGTTGGGGGGGTTGCATTTTCAGTGTGAGAAATTGGAAGTGTGGCATAAGGGCATGTGAAGGAGGTTGGATGTGTGTCTCACACTAAATGTGTGAGAGTTGTCCACCCTGATTTCCTCCACTTGTGGTACACATGTCCATGACGTCCAAAAAAGTTATCCAACACTAGGTCCAAATGTTTTACGTCATGTTGACGTCCAAAGGAGGTCATTGTTAGATGTCCAAATAGTTGACCCAGTTTGTACGTCCAACAGAAGTCCAGAGTTGGTCTTGGACTGACGGACTCAATATAGGCATGATAAACACGTCCATGCATCTTTGATTGCTTGATGAGTATTGATGATTTATCTCGTCAGTGTATGACAAATTATAATTGTTTGTTAGTTGTTTACACATTAACCACTATTCTGTTGTCTAGTAATAAAAAAAGTAATAAAAAAATATCCTTCCATTTTCTTCTGCTTATCCAGAGTCGGGTTGCGGGGGCAACAGCATACTAGTTGAGAGGCCCAGACTTCGGTCAGGTCCTTCAGGGGAAACCCAAGGCGTTTCCTGGCCAGCCGAGAGACGTAGTCCATCCAGCGTGTCCTGGGTCTTCCCTTGGGTTTCCTCCCAGCTGTGGTTGTGGTGGAGTAGTGTGTTTGTGTTTGTGTGTGTGTGCACGTGGCAGCGCAGGGGGGTGTTCGAAAGGGTGTTTCGCCCAGGGCACCAAATGGGCTAGGACCGCCCCTGGAAGGAATGTTCTCATCTTAGCTGATTTACATTTTTTATCCCTGAAAGATTGAAAATTTTACACATTTTAAACGGTTTGAAAACATTTTGCGCCTTTTCGGTGTCGTTTCTTAAAATAAAATTTATTCTGCACATTTTGCAGAGCCTGGAATACCAAAGTTAGTCTGAGAGGATCTCTGTTTTGCACAATGTTACTTAAACAAACAAACAAATAAATAAAACCTTCGAAGTCATAAACAAACTTTGTTTCTTTTCGTTTGGGAGGGAACCAGGAGCAGCTTTTTATTTATTTATTGGTATAGGGCGGGGGGTGTCCACTCTGGAAATTGCGCATACGCGCACGGTAAGTGTCCCACACCAGCGTCAGTGAGGCTCGCGCTCCACACCTCTCCCTCCCGGCTGAAGGAGCATCCTATAGGCTAATCAGGTGGTGGTTTCTAGCCAGCCTCAGCATCCGCCGCCCCTCAGTGGAACGCGCCCATACGAGTGGCAGTACGCGCTGAGGTGTTTTTCTTTTCTTTCCTGCCCGCTACCATGACAGAAATGTCGGATATCGCGTGCCTTCTCGTCCCGCTGCTGATGCTCACGGGGTCCACCATCCAGGCGGACGTGAAGAGCGTCAAAGAGGCAGAAAAAACGGGGAATTTCATGGAAGACGAGCAGTGGCTGTCCACCATTTCACAGTACAGCCGCAAGATCAAGCACTGGAATCGCTTCAGAGACGTAAGTGTTGGCCGGGAGATGCGGTAGCTGATGCAGGAGGACGCACTGCCATTTTTACACTAGAAAATCTAACAAACTTGTTCTTGAGTGGAAAATATAAAAATATGCGCAAAAGAGACTGGTATCCCATGAGTTGACTTTCCCCCGTGTAACTTCTCTTTTTGGCATCCACAATTAGCTGTAATCAGAAAACTTCCATGGGATGAGGCGGGCTGAAGGATGCCGTGCTAAAGTAGTTCCATCTGCAAACACGGACCATGCATCACTGTCTGGTCCATTTGAGTCTCTTTTCGAAATAATCTCACCGTCGCTCTTCTCCAGCAGCAGCAGCAGAGGCCCAATCCATCACACTGCCCTCAATTCTCAGACGTGTCTCCTCAAAAATGTGGCTCCAGGACCTGTGTCCAGAGATTTCACAAACAAGGGAATGAAGCAATTAGAAGAGAGGCCATTGATTGATTGATGTGCACCTATTGAGCAGACCGAACTGGGCTGTTGGGATTGATTAAAGCCTGCATGTGATGAATCGCTGTGTCTGTGGATGTATGGATACCGTCCTTCCTCCGGCTCTGTGAAATGATTACTAATGATCCCAACAGGATTTGGAAAGTATATTGCAGTTGGATTAGGTTCCATATGACCCATACTAATTGAGTTTTAATTGATCCTGTGAGGCTGCAGCAACTGATATGCGTCATTATTGGATTAGAAATGTTAGAAGCTGACTTCATCTCCAGTATCTGTATGAGAACAAAAGCAGATCTGCTTAGGAGAAGAGCTTCTTTCTAATCAATGTTTATATAAAAACCAAACAGCACCCCTGATTTTGGAGTTCAGTACAATCTGGAGCCGTGTTTAAGGAAGTGATGAAGTGGTAGGAATGGGAAAGATTAAGCCAGAATTTTTGTGGGATTATAACTCAGATGTATGTTTACACAGCTTTGATCCAAAATGCTCATTCCACCGACAGCAAGCACATCATGTGTGGCTCTGCAGAAAGAAAACCCTCCAACTACCAGTCAATTAAAACAGGATCACAACTGTATTATGTCGCACTTCCCCTTCAGGGTTTTCCTTACAATCCCACCTGCTTTTCTTTTCTGGGTTTCTTGGTTTCACATCAAAGACAACGTAGCACTTTTCACTTTCATGTGCACAGACGCAAACAGAAATGGTGATTGAGCATCGTTGTGGAAGGGTATGAATGTTTATTGTCATTTATTTTGTCAGTCAGGCAGTTGCAGCATGCAAGTGCATTAGAGAGAGAGAGAGAGACGTTGTTTCTGGTGATTACAAAGATAACAGGGAAAAAAAGACATCAGAGAAGAGAACCACTAAACCTCCCGAGGGAATCACCAATAGAAATCGCTTTGATTCCATCCCGCTGCCGTAGCAACAGCAGTCTCTGCGCTCAAGATGGAGCATAGATCATTGGGAGTTTGATGACTCTATCGCCTGTTCAGTCATGATTCAGGGTGAAGAGTGTAAGCATCTTTTAGTTAGGATTCTCCACACCGTTCAAACCATGAACTTGTGTTTTTCTCATTATTTAAGTGAGTTTTTAAAACTCAATGCAATGAACACTTGAATGGCTCTGCTTCATGTTTGCCTTTGACCTAAAATAAAGAAAGAAGTAGAAAATTTGAAGTTCAGCCTTGGGAATAAGTCGATGTGTAAATGAGTGCCGATGACACACTTCTGAGGGTATATAAATCGATGTTGACGTGTGCGTTCCTGTGAGAGTTTGCTGCTGAGTGTTGTTAAGTCTGGAAGGCAATAATCAAAGCCACACAACACGAAAGAGGAGCTCTCCTTTTTGCACGAATGCACACGGATAAACACAAGCATGCATGAACACACTGCACAAACTGTAGGCTGCACACTGTAAATATTTCATATTTATTCTTCCAGAGGATGTAAAAGCAGAATCAAGATAAGATGCCCTTTTTCACTTCCAGTAAAAAAATTAAATAAAATCCCACACTCCAATTCAATTTATTTCACAGGAAGAGAAGGCGATTAAATTTAACTGTAACAGTCAACAAATAATAGAAGAGTATACCTTCAATCCTTTAATCTGACAGGTGCACTCAACATTTCATTCCACTAATGCACCAAATCCTTGGGAAAAAAAGATAAACTGGGCAGCAAAAGGCAGTCGTGGGAACTGACTGCAGATTTATTACGTTAACATTCTGAAAATAACATGTATTGTCACTTTAATTAGTTTTTGTAAGTCAGTAAAATAATAATAACCATTGAATATGGTATATATATATATATATATATATATATATGGTCATCATTCTTTGGTGCTTTTATTTTGACAAGCCACACCACAGTCCCCATGGTGTGTATTGGTTAGAAGAGGAGAAATAAATGCAGCCTGTTATTCAACTCAGTGAGTCATCGTGTAAAATATTTATGATCTCATCACCGACTAAAAGTAATTTTAATCATGATTTTTTTTCATAACTGAGCCGTAAAAAAAATGATCACGAACAAAAATGCTTTTTGGAGTCCGGTTTACAAATGTGTTTTGTGAATGTTGCTTTAACATCAGCCACCATGATTTTCTGCCATGACCGGCCTTCGGGCCATTGTTGGTAATGTTAAATAACAACCATTCAGTGTTGACTTTTGAACATTTGAAATTCAAACGAAACAATTGTTTTGTTCACCCAACAGAACAAAACAAATTTAGTTTTATTTATTTTGCAATCGGCTCACATGTCTTTTTTTCAATTTTAGCATTAGTTAAAATAGAAATCTGTATTTGTTTCTCAGAAATCATCTAGAGGCGTAAAAATGTATTGCATCTGAAAGAAACGACTTGTTGGTGAACATGCCCCTCTAGACAGCCAACAACTAAAACACAATGTTTTGCAGTTTTATTGTCACATTATGCTGTTTTATCATATATATTTGATAAATTTACAAATATTTTAAAGACTTAGTTGTCCAAAAGAGATGTCACCAATTCTGTGTCACTCTAAGGATGTCCGCAAGCACTGTGACTGATCACTGTACGTATGCGGATGTCTATCGCTATTGGCTAATGCTGAACGGCACTCAGTACAAATTGTATGGGGCTCTATAGGACGGGGGCGGGCTTAGCAAAGATAATGACGTGTTGCCTACATTATATCACAGTACAGGGTAAGACTTTCACAAATTCAGATTTCTACAAAAATCATACATAATTCCTGAAAGGGGGAAACCCCTGGATTGCTGCTTTAAACAGATGAAGGCTGATGCATGTTCATGCATTCAGATCTCAGCACACAACAAAACACATATTTTGTTTTCTTCTTAATCTATCAGTTAAATCACCAGGACATCAATAACTGGTCAGATGTTCTGTTTTGCTGATTAAATACCAGCTACATTATTTGTGTTTACAAATGGATGCTCATTAAGACATGCCAGTGCACGCTGTCCTTGCTGTTTATGTGCATCCTGCATGCCAGCGCGATGATGCTGGGAAGATTCAGACCATATGAGGTGATTTCCTCCAGTATCCTACGCTGTCTGTGCTTGGTAAATCCTTATCTTAAAAATGCACGCCTCGATAGTCACACAGCTCTGCACCGTCCAGTGCCAATCCAGCCTGCGCCTGTTCTGCATTTACTTCATTTTTAATAGGCATGGGGACAAGAAAAAAAGAAAGAAGTGCGCCGCGCAAATAAAACTTCAGATCCCTCACTGATGCTGGTGGATTAATACTGCAGAATGGTGGAAAGACTTTTATTAAGACATGTTTATTTTTCAGATAACACCCACCCCCGTTTACCTAAAACTCTCTTTGGTGTCAGTTGGTGACTGTTTGTTTCACTATTACACTGTGCCACATGAAAAATAACTGTGGATAATGGAATCTGTAACAGTAGAGCCAAATACTCCATTAACGTCCATCTAGACAATCCGTAAATTATCAGGACTGGAGCTCAGTCTGGCTCATCCATCCCATGTTCCCTGGTGTTGTAACAGAATGCTTCTGATGCATTAATAATATGAACGATGATAAGGCTTATCAGAAACTCATTAGTCTCTCTAGTCATGCTCTGTACTAGCGTGAGTCATTTCTTATCATTTCCCAGATTTGTTTGGTGGCCTCAAACATCCAAAACTCTGAGGCAAGGCAGATGGACTGCGTCTTAATCACCTCCCAACTGTTCTGGGATGGGTGGCCTGGCTGTTCAAGTATTGGACAGACTACCGGGGCTCTGTGGGATGTCTTGGCTGGTTAGTAGGAGCGCAACTGGGCTGCAGTGGAGCAGACCCCCCCCCCCCCCCCCCCCCCAAAATGGCATTTAATAATGATTAGCACAGATGATGTAGAGAAAAATTATGACATTTAAATTTCTTGGGTGTCATGATTGTTTACTAAACACTATCAACCACTATCACTTTATTTCTCATGCATGCTGTCAAGTATTACCTAATATTGTTTACCATGATTGTCTATTTGATCATAACTGTGTTGTATGTAACATATTGTGTAAAACTCTTGAAAGTGTCACCTTAACACATAAGACTCAGTTCACACGGCAGGATTTTAAAACATGATGATAAAAAAAATTAATTATGGCTGTAACAGTTCTGGTCCTGCAGCAACAAGAGAAGAGCTACACACAAACGGATTTTACACACAAACATTAACCGGTCAGTTGGGAAATCTTGCAATACCTCTCGTGATCAAATGTGATTTTGAAATAAACAAACATGGTGGAGGAGGATCTTGCTACACGTCACATTCAACAGGCAGCATGCTAGTTTGTACGTGTTTAATTTCCCTGATTTGTGATTGGAGTGGTCCCAACTGTCAGACTGGTCGGCTGGATACGGGAATTGAGCTTGTAGAAAGCGTGGTCTCAGATGCGGAAGTGATAGCGTCGGTGAAACGCCGGCTCACGGTTTAATCTAGGGATCCCCGAGCGTTCGAGCGTCAATGAGGTGACACGGAAATGCCGGGTTTTCCAGAAGTAAGTAAGAACACT